GTGCACAGGTACAAGCCAGCAGATCCTTTCCAACATCCAAAAAGCAGAGATGATCTTCGGGATGGGGGCTCACACCCAACACAGACCCCTTTGGCAAGCATTCCTTGGGACTAACCAACATAGAAAAAGGTGCAGAACTGTCTCCCAGTCTCTGCCAGCATTTTCCTGGTCCCTGGAGGGGCACCGGTTTCCACAGCAACCACAGTGTAAGGAGAAGGCTGCCTTCCAGTTAATGATCCCCAGGAAATATTTAGTCTGGGGCTGTCAGTTCTGGAGAGGCAGAAGGAGAACTGAATGTGAGTCACCAACCTCGCTGGGCTCAAGGAGGTGGAAGAAATTGGTCCTGTGATTAGACGGAGCTGTCAACACCAATCTCCAATTCTACCCTGGTGACTCCTCACTGAGTTTTCAAGTCTCGGTCCTCACTGAACCCAGTGCGTCGTCCTGGTAACCTCCACCTGATGGTGGTGATGGTGGTGGTGGTGATGACAATGACGATGACGATGATGGTGGTGATGACAATGACAATGATGATAACGATGATGACAGTGATGATGACAGTGATGATGGTGACGATGATAGCAATGACTGTGGTGATGAAAATCACAGCAATCATGACAGAAAGGAGCGATGATTGCAAAGTGCTTCCTGTGCATTTTCATATTTTGCTTTACAAAAGCCTGGGGAAGCACATGCTATTCTTGACCACTTTACTGATGAGGAAATGAAAGATCTGAGAAGTTCTATAGCCTGTCCAAGGCATACAGCCAGCAAAAAGGACCTGATGTTTGCACCCAGCCCTGCATGTTTGAACCCAGCTCTGTGCAACACCAAAGCCATTTCTTTCAGGATTAGTGGAGCTTTAAAGATCAGATACTGCATCAGACTGTCCCAATTCAATCACGACTCGACGCTTACCAGCTGCACTTAAATTCATCATCTGTTAAATAGGACTATCAAGAGCACAATTTCTCTCCGAGGGTCTTTCTGTTGCGTGTGAGAGAATGACAAGGGTTCTTGTCTGTTCAATGGTGTTCAAACCTTGACATGCACACACACACACACCTGGAGGGATCTTCTTAAGTGTGGTTTCCAGTTTGGTGGGTATGGAATGAGGCCCGAGAGTCTGCATTTCTGATAATCTCTCGGTGGATGCTGAAGTTTCCGGTCTGCTGCTCACACTCCGGTTAGAAATACTGTAATGTTGAGGCAATCCCGTACGGACTCCAGGTCAAGTCCCAGCTGCTCCACTGTGATCTGGCTCCTCGCTAATGTGCCTGGGAAAGCAACAGAAGCTAGCTCAAGTCCTTGCGTCCTTGCCAACCATGTGGGGGCCACAGATGAAGTCATAGGCTCTTGGCTTAAGCCCAGCCATGCCCCAGTCATCGTAGCATTTGGAAAATGAGCCAACGTATGGAAGAGCTCTCTATTTCTCACCTCCCTCCCTCTCAGTCTCTCCCTTTCTTTCTGTAACTCTATTTTTAAAATAAATAACTAAATCCATATAAAAAATAAAGCTAGGGGGCTGGCGCAAAAAAAAAAAAAAAAAAAAGCTGCTGCCTGCAGTGTTGGCATCCCAGATGTGCACCGGTTTGAGTCCCAGCTGCTCTACCTCTGATCCAGCTCTCTGCTGTAGCCTGGGAAAGCAGCAGAAGATGGCCCAAGTCCTAGGTCCCCTGCACCTGCATGGGAGACCCAGAAGAATCTCCTGGCTCATGGCTTCAGATCAGCACAGCTCCACCATTGTGGCCAAATGGAGAGTGAACCAGCAGATGGAGGACCTCTCTCTCTCTCTCTCTCTCTCTCTCTCCTTCTTTCTCAAATAAATAACTAAAGCTTTAAAATAAATAACTAAATCTTTAAAATAAATAAATCTTTAAAAAATAAATAAAGCTAGAAAGCACATGGAATGTCTTATGATAAGGAATAAGGAAATGTTAACTGCTATTATCACTTTTTAAATTTTTTTTCCATTTAATGTATGTGAATTTCATGCATTTCTGCTATTTTTAGAATTATAATGTGAGGATTTTTTAAAAGAATTATTTATTTATTTGAAAGGCAGAGTTACAGAGAGGCAGAGGCAGAGGCAGAGAGAGAGAGAGAGAGAGAGAGAGGTATTTTATCTGCTGGTTTACTCCCCAATGACTGCAATGGCTGGAGCTGGGCCGATCCGAAGCCAGGAGCTTCTTCTGGGTCTCCCATGCGGGTGCAGGGGCCCAAGGACTTCAGCCATCTTTACTGCTTTCCCAGGCCATAGCAGAGAGCTGGATCAGAAGTGGAGCAGCTGGGATGCCGGCACTACAGGTGGCAGCTACGCCACAGCACCAACCCCTGCTACTATCACTTTTATGTTCTAGCTTCCCCAAGCCTTATCCCCAGACCAGACCAAGTGAATTTCCTGAAGGGTTGCATCCTCATTGCCAGAATGCCACTAACCAGACCCCTAACCTCTCGCCCCTCCTCCTTCCACGCCAGGCTGGACTTTTTTTTTTTTTTTTTTTTTTGGACAGGCAGAGTGGACAGTGAGAGAGAGAGACAGAGAGAAAGGTCTTCCTTTTGCCGTTGGTTCACCCTCCAATGGCCGCCATGGCTGGTGCTATGCAGCCGGCGCACCGCACTGATCCGAAGCCAGGGGCCAGGTACTTATCCTGGTCTCCCATGCGGAGGTAGGGCCCAAGCACTTGGGCCATCCTCCACTGCACTCCCGGGCCATAGCAGAGAGCTAGCCTGGAAGAGGGGCAACCTGGACAGAATCCGGTGCCCTGACCGGGACTAGAACCCAGTGTGCCGGTGCTGCAAGGCGGAGGATTAGCCTAGTGAGCCACGGCGCCGGCCCAGGCTGGACTTCTAAGATTAACGTTGGCCCCTGGTTGGACTGAAACTACCGTTACTGGGAGGGAGGAACAGACTGTCTCCATCCTCTGTGTCTGCTCTCAACCCCCTGCACCGGGCCTGAGTCACTCTTTCTTTTAACTTTGCTGAGAGTTCGCTTCAACTTTGCACCTCTGTGCCAAAACAGGCTGGTCACCTGGAAGGCAGAAATCCCAACAAAATGCATTTCCAATCACTTTTAGGTATGATGAAATTGGTTTTGCTATATATTATGTTTTATTTTAAAGATTTATTTATTTATTTGAAAGTCAGAGTTATACAGAGAAAGGAGGAGAGGCAGAGAGAAAGAGAGAGAGAGGTCTTCCATCCACTGGTTCACTCTCCAATTGGCCACAATGGCTGGAGCTGAGCCAATCTGAAGCCAGAAGCCAGGAGCTTCTTCCGGGTCTCCCATGCGAATGCAGGGGCCCAAGGACTTGGGCCATCTTCTACTGCTTTCCCAGGCAATAGCAGAGAGCTGGATTAGAAGTAGAGCAGCTGGGACTCGAACCGGCACCCATCTGGGATGCTGGCACTGCAGGCGGTGGTTTACCCACTACGCCACAGTGCCAGCCCCCAGTATATTAAGTTTTAACATTTCTGAGTAGCATTTCAGCTTGCTTTCTGTCCATGAACATAAAGGGAGAAGAGGCACGAGGTAGTTGGAGTAGGATGCATGGGCTTGTGCTAGGCCATTTTGTGTGGCCACAAACCGGATAACCTGCTAAGATAGGGCCACTCATTTGTCACAGATTCAGAGGTGTTGGTGGGGGGGTCCAAAACCAAGCGATTGGCTCTGGTGAGGGCCAACCTGCTGCTTTATAACATGGCAGAAGGCATTGCATGGGAAGAAAGTGAGAATGTGCACACTCAAGTCTCCCTTCCTTAAAGCCATGAACGCCATCATGGGTCTCCTATTCTCATGATCTCATCTGACCCTAATTACTTCCCAAAGACTCCTTCCCCAAAACACAATTAACCTATGAATTTGGGAAATTAGTTATAACACACAAACATTTGGGGACCTCACTCAAACCATGAGAGAGCTACCCCCCATAAGCAGTCTTCTTCATGTTTTAACTACATGGGTTGTTGAGTGCATGGACACCTCACCTCTGCTGGAATTGAAAATGCCTTCACCCCAAGAAGAACATAGTGTGTGTGAATGTTTTCTCTTTCCTGTGACTCAAGCCAGAGGTTAGTGGGAGGACAGGTTGAGCGTGCCCTCCCTTCCACTTGGGTGGGCTCTGGAAGGTGACGCCCAGACTCTCCTTCCAGGAAGGACTTGTCGCCATCAGCAGGCAACTCTCTGGTCAGCCACTCTACAGTTGCCCCTGCTGCGCAGTGGCTGACGGAGGCAGGGGTGTAAATCCTGGAGACCTCAGCCCGACAGACAACTCCCAAGGGCGCTTCTAGCCATAGAGCTTCCACGTGGTTGGTCTTGGCTGTCATTTATCTTGAGCATCACAGCTGGGCCTGTTTTCTCTCACTCCTTTCCATGGGTGCTGAGCCCAGGGGCATTGTCGGGTTCCTACAACTGAGGTCACCAATTGCCACAAACCAGGTCACTTCACACAGTGTAAATATGTTATCTTGGCCGGCGCCGTGGCTCACTAGGCTAATCTTCTGCCTGCAGCGCCGGCACACTGGATTTTAGTCCCAGTCAGGGCGCCGGATTCTGTCCTGGTTGCTCCTCTTCCAGTCCAGCTCTCTGCTGTGGCTCGGGAGTGCAGTGGAGGATGGCCCAGGTCCTTGGGCCCTGCACCCGCATGGGAGACCAGGAGGAAGCACCTGGCTCCTGGCTTTGGATCAGTTCAGTGTGCCGGCTGCAACACGCCAGCTGTAGCGGCCACTTGGGGGGTGAACCAATGGAAAAAGGAAGACCTTTCTCTCTGTCTCTCTCTCTCTCACTGTCTAACTCTGCCTGTCAAAATAAATAAATAAATAAATAAAATATGTTATCTTAACGTTCTAGAAACCGGAAGTCTCACTGGGCTAACATTAAGATGTTGTCATGGCTTCATTGCTTCTTACAGATTCACAGGGAATCTATTATTTAATATTTTATTATGAATAATTAAATCTAATATTCAATATTATTAATATTTAATCTAATATTTCCTTACCTCTTCCAGTTTTGTGAGATGGCCAGCATTCACTTGCTTGTGGGACCTTCCTCCGTCTCCAAAGTTAGCAGTGCTGATTCTTCAAGTATCTCTCTAAGATCTCTGCTTTGATTGTCATACTTTCTTTCGACCTGGATTAAGTTCCCAACTTCAGCTTGACTCAGTCCCAGATATTTAACATTTGAGAAGTGAGCTAGCATAGGAGTTCTCTTTCTCTCTCTCTTTCTCTCTCTCTCTCTCTTCTCTCTCTTATGCCAGACAAAGGAATAAACAAATAAAATATTTTTAAAGATTAACTTTAGCTTAATCTTTAGAGATTTGATTTTGCTCTTGGCTTCTTGGAGATAGTTTCTAATCCCTTGGAATGATCTGCAAGATCAGAACATTTTTCTATTTTCCTGATGGCTTTGGGCAGTCTAACAATGTGATTTATGGTGAGGGTTTGGGGTCACTTGGTATCAGCTCAAGTTCCAGGGCAGCGTGGACATCTGGATGGTCCACCATGTCAATAAAATCTCTGAACACCAAGGCTTAATGACAATCCCCAGTTGGCAATACTCCGTGTGTGTGTCATCAAGCCACCGCTCCCAGGAAAAGACACCACTGTCCACGTCTCCAGCCACCGAGCCCAGATGGAAGGCGCTTCCCTGCCCTCTGCCCCATTTGTCCCCCTTCTTGGCTGATTTTTAATCTGTGTTCTTCCACCATAATGAGCTGCAGCCACCGGTCTGTTGACTTTCAATGAGTCGGTGCATCCTTCCAGTAAATGTCAAACCTAACCATGCTCTCGGCAACCCTGAACTTGCAGTTGATGTTACAAATGGTGGGCATATTGGGGATCACTGAAATCCAGGCTATCTTATGCACTGTATTCTGGAAATTTCTTCAGAGATCTTCCTTTCTGAGACTTTTTTTTTTCTATTTCCCCCATTCTCATTGCTTGATGAGCACTTCTCTGTGTCCACTTTCTGGGTGGTACACACATCTCTCCTCTCCCCACTGGCTGGTAATGTCATAGTCTGGGGCAATGCTGGGGTTTTTTTTTTTTTTTTAATCTCCTTAGGACCTGGAAGGGTGGGGAAATATCTTGCTGCAACAGTTTAGACACAAAGTGCATGAAAGGTCAGAAAGAGCTCAATTTGATCTATTTTTATGGTGCTGCTCTCATAAACTAGGAAGATGGACTTGAGAAGGATACTCTATACAAACACAGCACACAAGAAAGGGGCCCAAGAAAGGATACAGGCTACTGGTCTACCTCCCGAAGATGCTGATTTCAAATAGACAGTGATGGCAACACTGCCTTTCTTTGCTCTATGTGCCAGTAAGCTCAGGTGAAAAAAATCACACCAACCGTGCTTTCCTTCAAAGTCTGGAGTTTTATTTATTTATTTATTGGCCTTGCATTTCTCTTTACAGATGGATTCCCTTTTCTGTAAAGGATGCATCCCACAACCCTCCATGGATTCCTGAAACTGGTGATGCATTTATTTTGAAATAAAAAATGTTCTGTTCTGGGTCTGGCGTTGTGGTGCAGCGACTATCACCTGCAATGCCAGCATCTCGCAGCAGAGCGCTGGTTCCAGTGCCAGCTGCTTTGTTCCCCATCCAGCTCATTCTAATGCAAGCAGTGGAAGACAGCCCCAGTACCTGGGACTCTGCCAACCATGTGGGAGACCTGGATGAAGTTCCTGGCTTCTGGCTTCAGCCTGGCCCTGCCCTGGCCATTGCAACCATTTGGAGAGTGAACCAGCAGTTACAAGAGTTCTCTCTTTCTCTCTCTCTCTCTCTCTCTCACTCTGCCTTTCAAACAAATAAATAACTATTTAAAAATTATGACCTTGCCTAGTGTTTTTTTTCATAATACGCATTTTCAATCAACTCTTTGAAGATCTCTGCTAGAGTGTGTTTTCTCCTATAAGTATATATTGATGAAGTTTTTAAGTTAGACACAATAAAAGAGTGACAGCAATAACTAAAAATAAAATGGATAAATTATAACTGTGTGCTGTGAGAACAGATATTGAAAATGTATGAAGTGCTTATTTTGGAATTTTCCATTTAATCCTCAGTTAACCACGGGCAACTGAAATCGTAGAAACCAAAGCTGTGGATGGGGCGGGGATGGGGAACTGCTCGTCCATTTTTATTTTCTTATCTTCAGTGTGAATTCATCCTCTTCATTTTCTACTGGGAACTCACCTCAACAGAGTCCAATCCATCATACATCATACTGATCTTTGCTCCCTATGTGCTACACTATTGGCTTGTCTTCTGCTTATTTCTATTATGAATTTATTTATTTTTCGTAATATGATAAGCCCCTATGAACACATCCCTCAAGTCGAAAACAAGATCCCTGGCAATAACATTTCCATTTTGAAATATGTATAACAACTTCTACTTTTTCAAATAGCAAAATTATTTTGTTGTGGTGGTAGTTAGCTTTTTATGACCTTAATGAAATCCCCGAATGGAGCTTCTTAGGAGGGAAAAGTTTGATTCCAACTTACATGTTGGAAGGCCAAAGTTATTCTGCAGCCCCATTATTCTGGCATCTGCTGGAGGCTGGCAGGGATGGAGCAGGTGCAGGGGAATGAACATGTGGTGAGCCAGGAAGCAGAGGGAAGCTAGGCAGAACTCAGCTTACACAACTCCGACCCTCTGGAGGGAACTACCTTCTGAGGGCTTGCACAGCCACCCAAAGACCTCCCCCGGGGCTCACTTTTCTCAGACACCATCCTGAAATCAAGTCTTTGTTCTTACTCTATGACCTCTTAACCTAAGACCAGAGTTTAGAGAGCTGTGTGAATCAGCAAGCCAAATCCTGTTCAATCCCTATCAGTTGTTACCCCGAAAATTTTCAAAATACAAGGCAGCATGAAGAAAAAATATATTACCTGTAACCCGGGCCCTTATTCCTACCAACTTCATCAACAGTGTTTAGTCTATGCTGGCAAATGTACATTTAAATATTTTTATAACTTTGAGTTACAGCATATGGAAAGTTTAGCATCTTTTTTCAAACTGTCATTATGAATTAAACACTTCACTTAAGTATCTCATTTAATGTTATGCATCTTTCTTATTATTTTTGACACCAAACATTCCAAGGCACATTTGCATGATACCATAAATGACTTAGTAAATTGATTTACTGATAGACATGTAGGCTGCATTTTTGGAGGGGAAGATGTATGATAACATTAGCAAACTATATATTATACGTAAGCATTGCTACATTTATTAGCTCAGTTTCTCCTATATAGTTCTAGTTCTTAGAGGTCAAATGCTTGGATTAAAATATTAGAATTTTCAATTTGTTGAGGCACATTATCAAGTCATTTCTAGAAAGAGACGTCAGTAAGAAGGAATACTTACCCTAGCATCTTACTTTGCTGGGACCTTATCTGGCCTTTCTCACTTCATGACACTTTAAAGGTCAAAGGTCAAGGAGATGGTGCATTGTGAGTCCTTCACACCAGCCTTCTAGAATGTTCTACAGGTGCCTGGGAACCTGGAAACGCCTTCCTCAGGATGCTATGCCTGCTTCTATCAGCCTCTTCCCTAGGACCATTTGAGGATGATCCTCAAGTGAAGAATTGCATAACCCTAGGCCTACGGTGAGGTGGGTGGGCAACCTCAAAGATCCTGGATTTGCAGTCAGGGCATCCACATGCATGCGCCTGAAGCCACTTTTGGTATGGATGGAGCTAGGGTCGGGGGGAATGAGAGAGCTCTCAGGAGCCTGGGGCTCACTCTCTCCATACCACCACGTTCCATCAAAGGACGTCTGGGAATCCAAGCCAACACGCAAGTGTATTTGCCGAGGTAGAAAGGTTGAAAATATTTGACTCAACCGTTGGTTAGCTAATGTTGATGACTTCTAAACACTTAGACATATGGTATATGGCCCTCCAATTGGACTTTCATCATGGTCGCTGCCCTTGTGAGGGGAGAAACTGATAACATTTCCATTTTTTTTTTTTTGACAGGCAGAGTGGACAGTGAGAGAGAGAGAGAGACAGAGAGAAAGGTCTTCCTTTGCCGTTGGTTCACCCTCCAATGGCCGCCGCAGCTGGCGTGCTGCGGCTGGCGCACCGCGCTGATCCGATGGCAGGAGCCAGGTGCTTCTCCTGGTCTCCATGGGGTGCAGGGCCCAAGCACTTGGGCCACCCCTCCACTGCACTCCCTGGCCACAACAGAGAGCTGGCCTGGAAGAGGGGCAACCGGGACAGAATCCGGCGCCCCGACCAGGACTAGAACCCGGTGTGCCAGTGCCGCAAGGCGGAGGATTAGCCTAGTGAGCCGCGGCGCCGGCCAACATTTCCATTTTTAATAGCAGCTCTGTGTGCTTCTCACCAGCATTAGGGATTATGGCTATTCTTCGCTAACTTGGTGGGTGAAAAAAAAATCTCATGCTTGTTTCAATCTGTGCATCTAAAATAATTGATCATTCCTAGCTTTCTGTTCCTCATAGCTGATGCCCTTGCTTGATTTATTGGTGCCTCAGTTTTTCTGAATCCAAGATGGCAGCCCTTGCATGGGTAACATCAAACCCAGAGCCAGGAACGCGGTGTCTGTCAGATCCCTGCCCCAGTGACAAACTGGCCTGTGTTTAGCAGGGCAGAAGATGGGCCAATGAGTGAGTAGCTTGAACAATCTGAGAAAGCTCCAGGGCTCTGTTTGATTAGTTATCGAATGAGTCACTAATGCCTTGAGGGACTCAGAACCAACAAAAATCAGGAAGCAAGCAAGGGTGGGAATACCACAGTAGAGCATCCTGGGAAAATCATCACCAGTGGCTTGGTTTACCATTTACAAATTCCTGGACTGGTGAATGCAAGGTTCATGCAAGGTTCCCCTGCAGGTGGAGCATCCTTTATCCCCCACATTTTGGAATAAATATTTCCACTTACATAATGAGCTATCTTGGGAACAGGACTCAAGTCTAAAGACAAAATTCACTTCTGTTTCGTATCCACCTTATACACAGAGACTGAAGGTGTTTTTAGGCAATGCTTTTGCACATTTTGCATGTGAAGTGAGAATGTTGTGGTGTAGAATTTCCCACTTGTGGCATCAGAATGTTCTGGACTTGGGAGTATTTCAAATTTCAGATTTACCAATCAGGGCTGCTCCACCTGCATTGGGTGTGTATTGGCATTTAATATGAGTAAACGCACGAAAAACTGAATTCTTGAAACAATCTAGAGTTTAACTCACTCGAATTGCCCCAAGGCAGAGTTGGTTCTTCCCTTTAAATCATCTCCAATCAACAAGGATTTGATCCAGTTAAACCAAAAACATCCAAGTCTCCATCTCAGGAGCTTTTGTCCCATTTTCTTCCTCAAACACCCAAACAGAATCTCTTCATTTCTTTCGGCTAGTTGGCCAGTGAATGCTTTAATTATGAGTTGAAAGGGATAAAATAAAATCATCTGGTGGAATGGTTTTAATTAAAATTTAGTGAGTCAGGCAAGCAATTAGTACATCTAAGAATGGAAACTGTACACACATATTTGTTCCTGTTGAGCATCATTGATTTAAATGAACATTTGACTCAGATTCCTCAAGTCAAACAAAGGCCATTATAATGGTAATGGTAATAATAATAATGTAGCCTGAGCTAATAGAAAATTGCAAAAGCCATCACTCTTGGTCCTCCAGGCTCCCAGTGGTCACACTACCCGGCAACGCCACCAACCTTAGTTGTAGGACAAGCTTTGAAACGCTTAAGACGATAAAGATGAGTAACTCATTTTAAATTTGAATGTAGGGAGAAAAGAGGATGGTAAAGGAAGAGAAAAGATAATTGATGGCTCAGTCCAAGTCCAAAGGCCTTGCAAAAGTTTGAGCAGCTGCTCTAAGCCAAATATACAAGGAACTTATGTTTATCATCACACTCGCACACACACACACAGTGTACCAGCCCACGTGGAAGGTTCTATTATGGTTGCAATTCAAAACACTTGAGGCCCAAAGAGATGAAGTCATTATCATGCCCAGCTACCCAATAAGAGCCAAACTGTGATTAGCTCAAATCCAAAATGCTTACTCTTTCCCAGGGATTTGGGATCACTTAAACATAGGGATTTATTTAAACTTCACAAAGAGGACATGAAATTGCTCTTCGAATAGCCTGAGTTCAACATCTCCATTATCATCTCCTTCCAACGGGAGGTGAGAGTTACAGGTACAGAGCGTGATGCTGGTTCTTTTGCAGGCCAAACAGGTGTCACACCACTGGGTCCCAGCCTCAGTTACAGGAAGAAATCACGGGCCTCAAAAAATACCAGGGCTGGTTCCAACCCCAGGAGGTTCTGACGCACTGAGAAGGGTGCTTCCTGGACATGAGCATTTTTCCAGGTCTTCTGGCGATTCACCAAGCTCCACACAGAGAGAAGGTTGTGGAAGTCCCATAGGAAGAGTGAAGCTGGCCAGCGCCATGGCTCACTAGACTAATTTTCCGCCTGCGGCACCGGCACCCAGGGTTCTAGTCCCGGTCGGGGCGCCGGTTCTGTCCCGGTTGCTCCTCTTCCAGTTCAGCTTTCTTCTGTGGCCCAGGAGGGCAGTGGAGGATGGCCCAAGTGTTTGGGCCCTACATCCGCATGGGAGACCAGGAGAAGCACCTGGCTCCTGGCTTCGGATTGGCGAAGCGCGCCAGCCATAGCGGCTATTTGGGGGGTGAACCAATGGAAGGAAGACCTTTCTCTCTGTTTCTCTCTCTCACTGTCTAACTCTGCCTGTCAAAAAAAAAAAAAAAAAAAAAAAAAAAAAGAGTGAAGCTGCCCCTTCCCCTGAACTATGAAGAGCTGTGCCCATAATGCTCCCCACTGCTCCACTCCAGCTCTGGACCTGGTAGAGTGTTGACAATTTGAGTGAAAGAATCCAGGTGGAAATTCTAGCTCAATCACCAACTGGCACTGTCAGTTTCACCAACCAGGTTAATTGGGGTTGTAGTTGTTCATCAGATGAAAACAGGAAGACCTGGAGGAGCCAGTGTGAAGATGACAAAATCACGTCTCACCGCTCCTAGCCAACGCAGCTTGCCAGTAACTGATAATTATCTGTTTAAACTATGTGGTCTTGGGCAGCAACACACCATACCTTTCTGGGCCTCTCTTTCTGAAGTAGGTTTGGGGAACCTGTTTTCTGCCCAGGGCCATTTGCATATCCATCACATCATTCGCAGGCGTATAAAGCTATCAACTCAAAAATGAGCTTGCTATAGATTTATTCAATTTCAAGTCCCACCTGTGGTTACCTTGGCAGAGCCAGATCAAATAACTTCATGGGCCTTCTATGGCCTGCAGGCAGGACATCCACCCCCACTCCTCTACCCCACCAGCAGCATCTGAAATAGAAGACAGGCTCAGTGCAGTAATTGATACTACATTTCCTGAATTTTCCTACACCAGAGCCTTGCATGAATGGGATTCATGTTTTATACTTCTTTTTTTTTTTTTGAAACAAGAATTGTATTATAAGTTTTTATTGATTTGAAAGGCAGAGTTCCAGAGAGAGGGAGAGAGAGAGGGAGAGAGATCTTCCGTCTGTTAGCTCTCTACCCAAATGGCTGCAAAGGCCAGGGTAGGGCCAGGCAGAAGCCAGGAGCCAGGAGCTTCTTCCGGGTCTCCCACATGGGTGCAGGGGCCCAAGGACTTGGACCACCTTCTGCTGCTTTCTCAGGTGCCTTAGGAGGGAGCTGGATCAAAAGTGAAATAGCCAGGACTGTAACTGGCGCCCACTTGGGATGCCAGCATTGCAGCCAGCAGCTTTATCCACTATCAGGTCCTGCTTTATACTTCCTAAATGCAATAATATCATTATCACTCATTAACACCTTAGAATAGTGTTTCAACATTCATACAGCTTACAGGACATTAAAGCAAATAAAGAGGCCGGCGCTGTGGCGTAGCGGGTAAAGCTGCCTCCTGCAGTGCCGGCATCCCATATGGGCACCGGTTCGAGTCCTGGGTGCTCCACTTCCAATCCAGCGATCTGCTATGACCTGGGAAAGCAGTAGAAGATGGCCCAAGTCCTTGAGCCCCTGCACCTTCGTGGGAGACCCAGAAGAAGCTCCTGGCTCCTGGCTTCGGATTGGTGCAGCTCCAGCCACTGCAGCCAACTGGGGAGTGAACCAGCAGATGGAAGACTCTCTCTCTCTCTCTCTCTCTCTCTCTCTCTCTCTGCCTCTCCTCTCTCTGCCTCTCCTCTCTTTGTGTAACACTGCCTTTCAAATAAATAAAATAAATCTTTAAAAAAAAAAAGCAAATGAATTTGGGCTACATCGCCTCTGCCTTCTGTAGAGTCACAAGGCGTATTAGCATATTCAGTCTTTTTTAAAAAAAGCTTGCAACGATGAAATCTGCGTTACACTGTGTGTACTAGCATTGCACAAAGTACATTACTCCAAAG